CCGCTCCCGGCCAAATTTTATTTTTTTTTTGAGACAGAGTCTAGCTTTGTTACCCAGGCTGGAATGCAATGGAACAATTTCAGTTCACTGCAGCCTCCTCCTCCCAGGTTCAAGCAGTTCTCTGCCTTGGCCTCCCAAATAACTGGGGTTACAGGCCCATGCTACCATGCCCAGTTAATTTTTGTATTTTTAGTAGAGACAGGGTTTCACCATGTTGGCCAGGATGGTCTCGAACTCCTGACCTCCCAAAGTGCTGGGATTATAGGGGTGAGCCACCACGCCCAGCCAAATGTTAATCTTTAAAAAATTTTTCTTCTCCAATGCCTTCTCCTCCACTTTTTTTCAGAATTTGTCCCTTCCAATTACAGCATGGTGTGGAGGAAACCGCAGCTGGGTGCAGAAAACTAGGTGTCGCTGCGCATGCGATTGTGGTAGACTACAGCAACAGAGAAGAGATCTGTAGCTCTGTAAATCACGTGAGACTTCGGGTTCACAAATATCTTCAGATGATTTTGTTTCCACGGACGCTGACATGGAAAATGGGAAAATTCTTTATGACTGCCTGATTTAAATTAGATTTTAGCTGCTAACTGAAGTAGTTATGTGACCAAAGAAGGATAAATACCTTTTTTCTTGTATGTAATCCACTCAGCTCTGTCCATTATTATTATTTCATATCATTAATCAACTTCATTGTGATCAGAAGTGTGAGCAGTGGCACAGATTGACTGACAAAAGATTTATCATCAGGGAATATGGATCACTACTTGGTTTTGTTTTGGTGCTATTAACTTGGCGTAATTCTGTCTTCTCTAATTATTTCCCTTGTGAGATTTTATTTTGGTGTTAATCTAGTCTTTTATAGAAAATGTAATATTAATAATTATCACAATTATTTTAAAAGAGTAAATATTAAATCATCACAATGAACTAAGCACTCCAACAAACTACATTTTTAAATTTATTCCCTACAATAACCCTGTGAACTTCATTTTACAGATAACAAATTGTGACTTAGAGAGGTTAAGCCAGACCAAAGTTGTGTAGATAGTAGGTTGCGAAACCAGGATTACTGAGCCAGCACTTTAGACCAGGTGCAGTGGTTCACACTTGTTATCCCAGCACTTTGTGAGGCCAAGGTGGAAGGATTGCAAGAGACCAAGAGTTTGAGACCAGACTGGGAAACATAGTGAGAAACTGTCTCTAAAAAAAAAAAAAAAAAAAAAAAAAAAAAAGTCTCTACAAAAAAAAAAAAAAAATTAAAGAAAAACACATTTTTTAAACATGGGCACTTTAAAAGTGTTTGGTCAGAGCTTATATTGGAATTTATCAACATAAATGCTAATTTCACTTTACTGATACACTTATAAAATCCATGATGTGCTGGATACTGAAATTTAGATGTTAACAGAACAGTTTATCCTACCTTTATGACAGTGTTCTCTTGGCCTCCACTATTTGAACTCAACAATCTGTCTTGCCTGAACTCTCAGAGACCTCACCCAGTAGAAGAAAGACTCTAATCTCTGGATTGTATTGGCACCAAAACTTTGACTTTGTATAACACATCCAGTGAATGTGTTCTTTCAATTTCAAAAGGTGAAGAAAGAAGTGGGTGATGTAATAATCGTGGTGAATAATGCTGGGACAGTATATCCAGCTGATCTTCTCAGTACCAAGGATGAAGAGATTACCAAGACATTTGAGGTCAACATCCTAGGACATTTTTGGGTGAGTGTGAGTCAGAAACATTTCTGATTTGTGCACCTTCTCTTAAGATACATGAAACTTATCAAGGAGTTCACATACTTCTGGGCAAGAAACTGGCCAGATCTTTGCCTTAATTAAGAATCATCAAATTTGTTTGAGTAGTAGAGCCACAGACGTAAGGACACGAAGTTCAAGTGCACACAACACACCAGAATGTAAGCTACTTGGTCTGCCTTGTCCACCAGTATCTGACACAAAGCCTGGCATGTACCAGGAGCTCAACAAATGTTTGCGGGGGTTTGTTAAGTGTTGTCAGTGTACATCTTTTCAATGCTCTCACTTGGGACCTCATTCTTTCCCTCCACACCATAATTTTGTAATGTGTCCCTATTTTGCGGAATTTTAGAATGGAAAGGACGTCAGAAGTAATTACTAGGATATATGTAGGATTGGGGAAAATTTTGGATGAGACTCTGAGGCAAGTCCTAGATCCATGGGATGCTGGAACCACACAGACCTCATATAACTGGTTAGTTTTATGGGAGATGGAAACATCAACTACAACTGCCTTCGGATAGAACATTTTTTGATTAATCTTCCAGTGCCTCAATATTAGTGTGAATCTAGGGCAAATCTGGATTCTGGAAGAAAGAAGAAAAAAAATGATGTGCTTCCCTTACCTTTACCAGCTCCTCACATATGTGAATTGGCTCCCATGCCCACCAAACTACATGGAGACCTCATATGTTAGTTACTGAAAGCTGCATAACAAACTATACAAAACTTAGTGGTTTAAAGCAACAATATATGTTCACTATCATCTCATGGTTTCTGTGGGTTGGTGGGAATTTGGGGATAGCTTGTGTTGGTAGTTCTAGTTCTACGAATTTGTGTAGGATATATTAAATTATTATAAAATTTCATTGATATTTCTTACAAAAGAGGTTTTTGGTAAAAAAGAAAGACTTGTTTTCTGTAACATCAATATATAATATACAATATTACAAATAGGGAGATAGTGAATTCAGTCATGATGCATAAGTGTTGCATAGAACTCTCAGCTTACACTACTCAACTGTAAATACAGTTACACAAGATTTCACTCTTTTAATTAGAATAATAAAGCCTCAAGCCAAAAAATTACATGACACCAAATTATCATAAGGAATTATTTTAGTTCTGAAAACTCTGAATTTTCCCCTTAATATTGTTTAGATGACATACCCAAAAAAGGATCTATTTGATTCCTTCTGAAGGGAAGGAGGGGGAATACTGATATCAGTGTTGGCATGAGGTATACCATACTCAATGCTAGCTGAAACCAATACATTTGTATCTTTATTTCCATCATTTTTATGGAATTCATCATGAAATGCCGGGAAGTATTTTATTTCATTGTCTAAGTCCTCTCAAATGCCTTTCTGTCTTAACAAAAATAAAACTACCTGATTTGGAAACCTAATGCCTATATCGCTGTTTTTCTGCTTTCTGCAATGAGGACGGGCGTGGTGGCTCAAGCCTGTAATCCCAGCACTGTGGGAGGCCGAGGCGGGTGGATCACGAGGTCAAGAGATCGAGACCATCCTGGTCAACATGGTGAAACCCCGTCTCTACTAAAAATACAAAAAATTAGCTGGGCATGGTGGCGTGTGCCTGTAATCCCAGCGACTCAGGAGGCTGAGGCAGGAGAATTGCCTGAACCCAGGAGACGGAGGTTGCGGTGAGCCGAGATCGCGCCATTGCACTCCAGCCTGGGTAACAAGAGTGAAACTCCGTCTCAAAAAAAAAAAAAAAAAAAAAAAAAAAAAAAAAAAAAAAAAAAAAAAAAAAAAAGATCACAAAAGCACTTCTTCCATCAATGATGGAGAGAAATCATGGCCACATCGTCATAGTGGCTTCAGTATGCGGCCACAAAGTGATTGCTTATCTCATCCCATATTGGTAAGTATCACTTGCCAGCCATGTTATATAGTTTTGTACTTTGAAGGGAGCATTACACTTCAAATTTTTACCAGTGGAGGGTGTCCTGGTTCTTGGCATCTTGAACAAAGAATTGGACAAAATGCACAAGCAAAGCAAGGAAAGAAAAAAACAACAAAAGCAGAAATTTATTGAAAATGAAAGTAGGCTCCATGGTGTGGGAGTGGGCCCAAGCACAGGGGCTCAACAGCTCCATTACAGAATTTTCTGAGGTTTAAATATCCTTTAGAGATTTCCATTGTTTGCTTGGTGTATGCCCTATGTAAATGAAGAGGATGAAGTAAAGTTACAAAGTCATTTTCTCAGTGTACACCCTATGTTCATGGAGAGGATATTTCCTGTCATAGCTGAAGTGTTTCCATTTGATTTAGTTTTAGGAAGTGAGCATGAATCGGCCTTATGTTCCCTGCCTCCAGGCCCTATTCTCCTGCCTCAAGATTGCAATGCTCAGAGCAGAGTGATTTGGATTTACAAAATTTAAATTTACAGTAGTTTAGAATGAATTTTTTAAATGACTTTTTCTAAAACAATGAAACTGTGCTGTAATTATGTTTTAAATGTTTTTAGATTTCTGCAAACTCCTCTGTAGAACGACAAGAGAAAACAGTAATGCCAAGCATGTTTCCATTGTTTCCTGGAATAAGAAACAGAAACCAGCTGGGCAAAGTAGCTGAAGCCTGTAATCCCAGCACTTTGGGAGGCCGAGGCAGGCAGATCACTTGAGGTCAGGAGTTCGAGACCAGCCTGATCAACATGTAGAAACCCATCTCCACTAAAAATACAAAATTAGCCAGGCATGTTGGTGCATGCCTATAATCCCAGCTACTTGGAATTTGAGGCAGGAGAATTGCTTGAATCCGGGAGGTGGAGGTTGCCATGAGCCAAGATGGCACCATTGCACTTCAGCCAAGAGCAAAATTCCATCTAAGGAAGGAAGGAAGGAAAAAATAAAAAAGAAAGAGAAGGAAGGGAGGGAGGGAGGAAAGAAGGAGAAAAAGAAAGAAAAAGAGAGAAAAGAAAGAGAGAGAAGGAAAGAGAAAGAAAAAGAAAGAAAGAAAGAAAGAAAGAAAGAAAGAAAGAAAGAAAGAAAGAAAGAAAGAAAGAAAGGAAGAGAGAAAGAAAAGAAAAGAGAAAGAGAAAGAAGCTGAAACCCCACAGACCAAGAAGCAAAATGTACAGAAGCTAAAATGAACTCATATCTATGTCATGGCCTTGTGCCCAAGATAAGACAATCAGAGTGGTCCCTGGATCAAAACTTTTTCCAGTGTGCTTGTGCTGTGAAAGCGTGTGTGTGTGTGTGTGTGTGTGTGTGTGTGTGTGAGAGAGAGAGAGAGAGAGAGAGAGAGACAGAGAGAGAGAGGCAGAGAGAGAGAGAAACAACTCTAACTGAATAAAAGTTGCAGGTACCACACTCCATGCACCACCAAAGACATAAAGGGAAGGAGGTGGGAGGTCCTAGGATATACTACCGTATTTGCCAATATCCTTTCCTGTAAACTCTTCTCCAGATCCTCATAATAAAATTAAGAGGCCAAAATGGTAACCATTGTCAAGAGAAAAACTATCAACCCAGTTATCGAGCGAGAGAGGAGGAATAAGCAGAGTCCTACAGAAGTTGTCAACATAGATATTAGTTTTGTAGAATTTCTAAATATGATTTTCCTCATTCATATTTTTCAAAATAAAAGCAGGAATAAAAACAGATTAGAAAACAGTTTGAAGATTCAATGGAAAAACTTTACATGTAGGATGGAAAACTGAACATTAAGCCAATGGAGCTATTTTTGTTCTTTTGCTATCATTGCTGTTTAAGAAATTAGATATATTCACAATTCTGTTTAATCATGTAAGGAAATGAAAATGAATTGCCATTTATGCTCTGAGAAAAATCACAAGTGGATGATTTCAGGGGTTTGGCTTCTACTTGTTCTTCACTCAGGTGATACTGCCTCCTCACAGAAAGCTGAGGTTGGTTTCACTGTCCCTTAGCTAACAACGCTTGATAATTCTCATACAGTTCCAGCAAATTTGCTGCTGTTGGCTTTCACAGAGGTCTGGAATCAGAACTTGAAGCCTTGGGAAAAACTGGTATCAAAATCTCATGTCTCTGCCCAGTTTTTGTGAATACTGGGTTCACCAAAAATCCAAGCACAAGGTGAGGTCAAAATCAAGTTAAAATGGGACTGTGGCATGATAAATTGATATGAAAACTAATGAGAAATGTTTAGGCAGACCAACTAATAGAAAAAAATGAAAAAGGAAAAATATTTTTCTAATTAATATTATTATCTTGAAATTAAAGGAATAAAGGGGAAAAACACATTAGGGACTAGCAGGAATATCTGCTCCCAATGAACTAGGGTATTTATTTGTGTCCAGGAAAAAGCTCAACACACACTCAGGTGCCAAAAGTAAGTGGAAAGTGGGAATGGGGCAAGGGGGGCCAGAGAGGTGTGCTTAAGGGAATGGTGAAAGTCTCCTCTCCTGGAAACCACACCCACAAAATGAACAATACCTAATATTCCCCCCTTCTGTTCGTGGTTCATCCTCTTCAAATAGAGCATGGAAAGGTGTAGGTACTTATGTTGTATTTGACCGAGCGTAGAAAGTTAGCACCAAGACAAAAGTATGCCAGATTGCAGGGTCATTTATTATGCCAGCGACCACAGAGGACTCACGTCTCTCCAACCTGTGGCGTCAAAAGGAGGGTGCCAAGACTTTGTATACCTGAAAAACCACCTTGGGAGTGGGGGTGAAGAGTGGGGATGGGGATGAAAAGGTTTCGGACATTCCAAGGGCTAGGGGATTCTGTGATTCACCTCCTGGGCGGAGACAAGGGCGGGGGTCTCTGGACATTCCAAGGTCTAGGGGACTTTTGTCATTCTGTTTGTTACTTCAGTGGTTTACAGAAGTCAAGATATACATTTGTTTACACATTGTCTGGGTGGTGATAGAAGTCACAGATTTTAGCAGTTACTGATAAGAAAAGGTAAGCAGCTTTACATAGTTTTGCAGAACAAACTAGCAGTTCTATTTACAGCGACCAAGAACAGTATGTTATTGTGAGGAGAATGGGGCAGCCATTGCAACTTATTTAAAAACAGTTTTGCATTTTATAAAAATAGCGTTGCTCAGATTCTGGCTCCAGGCCAGCACAATATCACACTTATGCCTTTTTTATGTCTTCTACATCACTGACCACAATGTTAACATAAGGCACCCAAACATTTTCCAAGCCTGTCTCATCCCAAGAATTATTGCTTATGCTTACTTAAAAAATAAAGTTCATAGGCTCGTCCTTAGAAATTCCGATTCAGTAGACTAGGATTAGCTCCAAGAATTAGGAGTTTTGTTTTGTTTTGTTGTTTTGTTTTGTTTTGTTTTGTTTTACAAGCATACCAGATGAGGCTAGAGACAGAGTTGGAAAATTTTCATGTGGTCTGTATAACCAGAGTGCATGCTTGTAGTCCTAGAGATTCGGGAGGTTCAGGCAAGGGGATGGCTTGAGCCCAGGAGTTCGATGCTGTAATGCACTGTAATTGCACCTGTGAATAGCCACTGTACTCCATCCAGTGCACCATAGTGAGACCTCTGTCTCTGAATACACACACACACACACACACACACACACACACACACACACACACACACACAAACAACCTCTACATACATTTGATCGCTGTCACCACCCTGTCTTTAAAATGCAAATGTTCCAAGGAGCAGCAAATGAGTCTCTAGCTTCTTAGTCAGCAAGAACTCTTGTCTCTGGTCAGAGAGGATTTGAGACCATAAAAGAAGGGAAATTAGTCCTGAAAGGGGAAGAAAAAAGCAGGAAGGTGAGGATAAGGACCCGAAAATTAATCCATCTGTTTCACAAATTTTCCACAATCCTAGTATATTTTCCGCTGCAGGGTAACAAAATATACTAAGCTTAATGATTCAAAACAAATTTTTGGCTGGAAGGGAATTAGTCCTAAATATATTCATTCGAAAGAACTAAACAATTCTCTGATGAGTGCTGCTTCCGTTGAGGCTACTGACTCTTACAGCCTGAGTTAGCTGTGTGGTCTCTGCAGCTGGAGTCACTTCCTGCCACTGGAGTCCTTCATGGTAATAGACCATAGGTACTGTCAACTAAAGAAAAAAAAATGTTTGTTTTGTTTTTGTTTTTGTTTGAGTTGGAGTCTCACCCTGTCACCCAGGCTGGAGTGCAGTGGCGCAGTCTCAGCTCACCGCAATCTCCACCTCCCAGGTTCAAGCGATTCTCCTGCCTCAGCCTCCTGAGTAGCTGGGATTACAGGTGCCTGCCACCACACCTGGCTAATTTTTGCCTTTTTAATAGAGATAGGGTTTTGCCATATTGGTCAGGCTGGTCTCAAAATCTTGACCTCAGGTGATCTGTTTGCCTCGGCCTCCCAAAATGCTGGGATTACAGGCTTGAGCCACCGTGCCTGGCCAAAAAATTTAAGTTTTTAAAGAGTTAAAGCTGTTAGTTTTATTTATAAGCCTTACCAAGGACTACAGATGAAGACCTATAGCCTGAGAGCAGCCCTTTAGAGAGGTTCAGCTGGACTCCTCTGGCAGTGGAGGCCATGTGCTCTATCCTGTTTTGTCTTCAAAGCATCTTTCTAGAGAGCTGCACATTGTCACAGAGTCAGGGACTTTGTGAAATTACGCTGACAAGCAGAAGTGAGAAAATGTGGCTTCTTACCTTTGCTACGTTGTCTCACGGTACTTAATAAGTATGTGATATGTAAGTAAATACTATAGTACTATTGCAACTCCTGTTTTCTTAGACAAGGAATTGGGCCCAATAAAAACTCTCTTGATAGGCATTCAGGCTTAGTGTACAATGAGTTTTCCTAAGGGTATCCTGCCTCTTAAGGAAGGCATAATGGATCAGGAGAGTAAGGATAATGGAACCCTGGGCAACAGGGCTCCTGGGGCTAACTTAGGGACAAAAATAGACAATGCTAAAGATTTGGGATTGATTTTATTGAGGTTGCAGGATTGTGAATTTCCTTAGTAAGGGCTAAGGCATTGATATGTAATGTCACGCTTGGCTCAGAGGCTGGGTTGTTTGATCCATGTAGTTGAAATGAGGGAGAGAATGGGCAGAACCAAGTAATTTAGAAAGGTATTGATTTGTATTACTCTCTGCTGGCTTGCTGTTCAATGCAGTGGAGACCTCAATCACATGCTCATCTGCAGTAAACCACAGGTCACCCCAGGGAATGAAGTTTTAACATTCGCTGGTTCCTTAACTCCTCTGCCCAACCTTTATATTCACTGGCTGTTCAGTCCATGCCTAGACATCTTAATTTGAATATAACACTTTAAAACCATTTATGTTTTAATTTTCTGTCATCATCTTGCACTAATAGGCAATTCTACATTAGGCCTAGGTTTGTGACTATTTCTCAAGAATACATGTACACAGCCTACAGTATAAGGAAGGTCATGTGTCTAGTTGTCATACTCCTTGAGCCCCTCTTAAATTCTCATTAAACTGCAAGATAGGCAAATCAGAGGTGAATCTCAAATACGAAATTCTTAGCGGAATAAGGCTCCAATCCAGACCTAAAGAGAGGGTTCTTAGATTTCTCACAAGAAAGAATTCGGGGCAAGTCCACAATGCAAAGCAAAAGCAAGTCTATTAGGAAAGTAAAGGAGTAGAGAATGGCCACTCCATGGCAGAAGAATGGCTTGAGCTGCTCCATCAAGGATACTTAGAGTTACTTCTTGATTATATGATAAACAAGGGGTAGATTATTCATGAGATTTCCGGGAAAGGGGTGGGCAATTCTCAGAACTGAAGTTTCCTCCCCTTTTTAGACCACAGAGGGTAACTTCCTGCCATTACCATGGCATTTGTAAACTGTGATGGTGCCCACAGAAGTGTCTCTTAGCATGCTAATGTATTATCGTTAGTGTTAGCTTGTAATGAGCAGTGGAGACGACCAGAGGTCACTTTCATCACTCTCTTGATATTGGTGGATTTGGGCTGGCTTCTTTACTGCACCCTATTTTATCAGCAAGGTCTTTATGACCTGAATCTTGTGCCAACCTTCTGTCTCATCCTGTGACAAAGAATGCCTTAGCTTCCTGGGAATGCAGCCCAGTAGGTGTCAGTCTTATTTTACCCAGACCCTATTCAGGACAGAGTTGCTCTGATTTAAAAGCCTCTGACAAAATGACCTCAAAACAATTCAGCTTTATGGAATACCTCCACAAGAAAGAAAGTATACTTAGCTATAGAATTTTCTCCTTGCATCGAACAGGCTTTGAGATGTCAGATGTGTCCTTCCTGACCCATGATTAATCCTAGCCATTCCTCTTTCTTGCCTGGCTCCTCTACTCCTTACCATCTAATTTTGATATTTTGACTAAGCGAGCTATGAAACACACCTAATGGATATGAAAGCATATGAAAGTGTGTGATAACAAAACATCAATATGGAATGTGAGGAAAGTGGGTAGGATGGCATTCATGTAGCAAATCTTGGAATATTTTTAATCTTCATTCTATATTTAGTAACTCTATAGGATAATTTTCCTGCTATCGTTTATTCATAAAATTAAAATTTTGAAAAATAAAAAGAAACTTTTTCTCTTTTTAATCACAGATTATAGCCTGTGTTGGAAACAGATGAAGTTGCAAAAAGTCTGATAGATGGAATACTTACCAATAAGAAAATGATTTTTGTTCCATCATATCTCAATATCTTTCTGATGCTACAGAAGTAAGTACAGTACAGAACACTTAAATACTAAAACGCCAGTACAACTGTTATTTGTTTATTTATTTATTTTGAAACAGAATGGTCACTCTGTCACCCAGGCTGGATTGCAGTGGCATGATCTTGGCTCACTGCAACCTCCACCTCCCGGGTTCAAGCAATTCTCGTGCCTCAGACCCCCAAGTAACTGGGACTACAGGTGTGTGCTACCACACCACGCCCAGATGATTTTTGTATTTTTTGGTAGAGACGGGGTTTCACCATGTTGGCCAGGATGGACTCAAACTCCTGACTTCAAGTGATCCTCCTGCCTCGGCCTCCCAAAGTGCTGAGATTACAGGCATGAGCCACTGTGCTCTGCCCACTAAAGCTTATTATGGAGAATCTTTCAGCTGTGAGAATTGGCATGGAAACTCTCTGTCCCTGGGGAGAACAGCTAAGTTTCCTCTGTTATTTTCCAACCCAGTCTATAAGAAGAGAATGATTCATTTTCTCTACCAAATCTACTGTCTCTCCCCACACTTTGCTGAAGACTATTCTACCTAAGGAAAGACAGTTTAAAAGAATGCAATATAGTGAAGTAGTTAATAATCAAGACTCCATTTTTAAAAGCCTGCTGGAAGTCTGGTTGGGATTGCACTGAATCTGTAGATCAACTGGGGAGAATTGATGTATCAACAATATTGAGTTTTCTAATCCAAGAACATAATATCTATTTTTTCAGTCTTCTTCAAACTCTTTAAATCTTCAAATTGTAGCCGGGCGCGGTGGCTCAAGCCTGTAATCCCAGCACTGTGGGAGGCCGAGGCGGGTGGATCACGAGGTCAAGAGATCGAGACCATCCTGGTCAACATGGTGAAACCCCGTCTCTACTAA